GAACAAAATTTTTTTCAATTCTTTTTTTCATGTATTATTTTTTGTGGATTAAATAAAATAAATTTCTTACATGATTTTTAATACTATATATACATCAACATCAAAATAGAATAAATAATATTTGAAGAATTGAAAGTATATACAAAACAAAGACTTATTAAAATCCAAATTTTTGAAACACTTCAGAGTATACAACATTTTTGGTATGGTTGCAAGAGTTTCTATTGTCATCTAAAATAAACATTTTTAATTATGTATTTTTCTTCACTCGTGAAGGAACAACATAAAATTAATCATAAGTGAATGCTGACTTAGTTAAAATAATCTAACAAAAGATAATGTTTCACCATAACTTTTGTTAATAGTCATAGCAAAACATAAAACTATTGGGAATTGTCTTTTTTGAAACTTTAGGGGGTAGCCTCGGATCATGTGGTACCAAATTTATTCGAGGTATGTAAACCTTTTTCCCGTCTCGATTTCTCGAAACCACGATTGCACGGTTAACATTTTTTCGTACATCTTCAACAATTAATCTTGTACCATTATACAATCCAAATAACATAATCAGTACACTTTTTTTCAAAACTATTTTTTGAATTGGTTTGGGATCCCCGAACATCTGGACATTTGATTTCATTCAAAAATTCAAATGTTATCCAATAAGCATCAACACCTACATTGGCATCTGCTTGCCATTAAGAATCATAATTCAATTACTCCTTTTTCATTACTGAGAATGAGGAATAAGACAAACTCATTTATCATTTCAACAACTTCGAGAGTGGGTGCTAATGGTGCCTAATCCTAAAAAAGGAATATTTTTTCATATTCTCCAATAACGTCAGATAATTGAATTCCAGTACTATACTCTTGGGAGGATAACTTATGTCAAGAATCAAGAATCCAGTCAGAATTTTAACGTCAGCAATTCCACCAATCACTTGACCAAGCTTTCCATCTCCAATTTTGATTATCTAATCAGAAAAAGCTTGTGTATCCCTATCTAGGTAAGAGGACATAGATAAATGCAATACCTTATTCTTGCTCAACGTAAAAACTTTACAATACAACCTCTATTTTGGGGAAATCACTGTAGCACCTATAATTTTCTCTCTCGAAGCTTTGGTAAAATTGGAAGGAAGTGGCAAAAATCACTTTCGAGTACTAATATTTTTCCTCTGAATGGTTCATTTCTAGAGTTATTATTGTAGAACCTCAATATCTCTCTCATTGTGTGATCCAATACCTCAAAAACAAATCTATTCATCACACATGCTTCATCTCATATGATTCCACTTGCTTGTTAGATTAATTCTGCTTTCGGACCCCCCTTGTTTGATAGCACACATTGAGCACTCAGTTAAAGCCAGAGAGATTGAGAATCTCGAGTGTGCTGTCCTTCCACCATGCAAAAGCAATGCTGCAATGTCACTGGATGCAACATTCAAAACAGCCTTACATACGATTCGTTCTTGAAAAGTAGACATTGGTTTCTATATAAATGTTTTCCCAAGTCTCCCGTAACCATATATAAAAAAGAAACCTCCTCTTTTAGATATTAGATTTCGATTATCACATCAGATATCTTTCTTTGATCTTCATTCATCGTAGATAAATATCCTCTAAAATCAAATGACAATTTTTCTTTGTCATAGTTCAAGTTCTAAACCAAGAAATTATTTTCAAATCTATTAAGAAGACTATCATCTGGAAATGACATAACACTGAACTCCTTTAAGAATATATAATTTTGATATTATTTTTAAACTTTTCCTTTACTTTATAATAAGGTAATAAGGTATAAAGTGTAGGATAAATGATTTTAGGGTGTGCCTTTTTTCTAATTTGAAAAGTTTTTGGGACGCCTTTCTTTGTATTTGAAAAATTTAATGGGACGGATGTAGTATAATTTTCTTCAAATATCTAAGGTTATTTATTTATATTAGGCTTCCCCAAAAACAATTTACTTAAGTAGTCAACATTGCATGTGCATTTTTTCAAAAAATATCTTCAATAATTCTAAAATTATTATCGTTGGTTTAACGCATTGAAAGTCTTATTTCAATCTATGAATTTCGTTTTAAACATATTAATGATTCTCGACAAATTCTATGGTGGACTTAAGGTGTACCATAGACGTACATATGAGCAAAATAAGTATTTCTTTATTACTAAAATAAGCATTTGTTTTTATAAATAAAAAAATTAAAAAAATATATTTTATGTGAGAAGGTCCACAAAAATGATACGCACTCAAGGTGCACCAAAGAAATACTCACGATTCTCTCTCTATTAAACAANAAAAATATCTTCAATAATTCTAAAATTATTATCGTTGGTTTAACGCATTGAAAGTCTTATTTCAATCTATGAATTTCGTTTTAAACATATTAATGATTCTCGACAAATTCTATGGTGGACTTAAGGTGTACCATAGACGTACATATGAGCAAAATAAGTATTTCTTTATTACTAAAATAAGCATTTGTTTTTATAAATAAAAAAATTAAAAAAATATATTTTATGTGAGAAGGTCCACAAAAATGATACGCACTCAAGGTGCACCAAAGAAATACTCACGATTCTCTCTCTATTAAACAATATGATTATGTGTCCACTTTGGATATTATAATTTTCTCAGTTAAAAAATGCCTAGAATCAAAATTTTAATTATTTTTAAAATTATCAAATGTTAGACGTTAGAATACACAATAAAAAAAGATGAAAGTAAACTCAAATGACAATAATAGTTAAAAGGGAGAAGTATTGAGGTAGAAGTCAAAATAAGTAATTTTGATACTTTTTTAACCTTTTCAATTTGTTCTAACTTAAATGTATTATTATTATTATTATTCAATGGAAATATTAATTTACATAAAAATAAATTAAACATATATTATCAGTACTTAAAATTACTCATCCAAATTATCTTCTTATTTTTCTACTTCGTAATTATATTCTAGTCGCCGTATAAGGTACTCCGTATATATTAGGCATATTAATTAGAATTGGATCTTTATATATTTTAATATAAAAGTGCCAAGTCATTAAACTCTTCAAAAGTGGCGGATGACTCATAAAAAACTTGCCAAGTAGACCCGCCACATGTCGACATTCTGTGAGCACGAGTCTCAAATAATATATATATAAAGGATATAAATGTAGCCTCTATTATAATAGTAGTCTATATTATTTCTTTATTTTATTTTTACCTGACATTATTTTTTATATCAAATTAAAATATTATATTATTTTCATATACTCCATACTACACTACTTCCTCCATCCCGATGTATTTTTCCAATTTGACTTTTTCGAGTCAAACTGAACAAACTTTGAGCTTCAATTTAATAAAAAAAATGTAATGTATTTTAACATAAAAATGACTTTATTGGATTTATCGTATCGAGAACTTTCAAAATTGTATTTCTTTATGCTAATATGCAATATAAATTGAGAGTAATTGGAGTTTAAAGTTGGTCCAATTTGACTCGAAAAAGTCAAACTGGACAAATACACTGGAACGGAATAGTATTATTTTTGTATATAATAATAAATGCATATATATATATGTGTGTGTGTGTGTGTATGTATATATGTAAATATTGTTTATTTTCAATATTAAAATAATATATTATTTTAATATATATTCTATACTATCATTTCCGTAAATAACAATAAAAGCATATATATGGAAATGTTGTCTCTATTATATTAGCTTTATATTAATATTATTATTATTATTATTATTATTATTATTATTTATATTTTCATTATAATATTGTCATTGTCATTATATTTCAGTTCCTTTATAATAATATATTATTATTTTCGTAAATTTTTTTATAAATACATAACTATACGCACACCACATTTCAGTAAAATTTTCATGCACATTACATTTAATGTATAATTATTTCCATAAATAATACATTAAATGTACATAACATTTCCATAATATTTTCCCACCTATTTTTTGGTCAAATATTCCTCTGTTTTTAAATAAAAATATTGATATTGATATTTTGTTGATTCTACTATTTTAAATATTAACACAATAAAATAATTTTATATTTAAAATGTTAGTCGTGCAACGTTAACTTATACTCCGTATCAAAATTTTAAATGAGTGATCACAACTTCAATCCCTAGTAAAAATAATACTCCTTCCGTCCCGCTATATTCATCCACTTTTGACTTTTGGAACTGTTTATCTAAGCACTTTGACTCATCAAATTCTCTCAATGTGTAAGCCTAAATATAGTCATGCGTGATCTTGTTTGATTTGTCTTAACATATAGATTATTAATATATAATTTTTATAATTTTTTAATATACAAATTACAAGATAAAATGGATTTAAGAAGTGTATTGAATGGTATGCAAAAATGAAAGTGGACAAATATAGTGGGACGGAGGAAGTAACTCTTGATATTTCAATAAGTTAAAAATATGCTTCAATAGAATTATCAATGCGCCAATTTTCAAAAAAAATGCTAAAGAGCATTTAACGAAACCCAATTATTAAATGCGCCACTAATGACGGAATGTAAAACTTGGAAGTTGGAATAGTATGAGTTCTAGAACTTCTTCAGGATTCGTGTGGGTCCAGAGTTCAAGGCTGCCCGCCATGCTTATAATTTCATACTACCTCCCTCCCCATTATTTGTTTAGTTTTAAATTTTTTCAGTTAACTATTTCCAAGTTTTGATTTATAATTAAATAAAATATATATTCTATATTAATTAAATAAAATAATATTTTAAAATATTTTATATAATAAATCTAATAAAAATACTGTTGTATCAATATCTAATAGCATTTCTTTTAATCTAGACTCAAATTTTACTAATTTTCACTGAAAAAAGTAAGAAATGGACAAATACTCCAAGATGGAAGGAGTCATTTCTAGAATGGAGTCGGGTAACTGTCTATCCTTTTCTACGAAATGATAAAGATCAATTTAATTTCTCTCATTTTATAATTTAATCGATTATGAAGGTCTTTAGGATGATATTCATCGTTTATACTGAACTTGACCTGTAATTTTTTTTGAATAAAATTATGGAAATAAATTTTTCCGATTCATCCGACATAAAAGGTCAAATCTAATTAACAATCAAATGAAGGATGGTAATGAAAGAAGGGGAAAAAGAGGGGAAGAAGAGCTTGAGAAGATAACAATGGTGTATTAGTTGTGAATTTTGTTTGTCATTTACAATGGATCCCTCTCCAGTTTACAAATCAGAAGATGTGATAATTTGGTTATTAGTGAAAAAGTATGATGTGATAAGTAACGTATGAAATAGTATTGGTTAAAGTGGTTTTTTAATAGAAAGTGGAATTGTTTTAGGTAATTGGAAAAAAACGAAAGAAGAAGAGTTTTATGGAACGAGAGAGTATGTAACTTTTATTTTTTAATTGTATATTATTTTTCATATAAAATAGATGAAAATAATTTACATAGTTTGATTAGAATCTTTTCAGACCAATCAAAAATAATTTTAAACATCATTACAATCAGTTTAGACCACATCAGATTAGAATTTATTGCAATCAATTGCATAGAACAACCCTAAGTTAGTCGTAAAGTCTATATCCTCTCTTATTAATCCTTGAATCGTGTTACAATTCCCACGCCCTCACGCATGATAATATAGACAATTTTATACTTACAGTAAAAATAATTATTTATGGACATTACAAATAATTATCGCATGTGCTAGTATAAAATTATCTCTATTAGGGGTGAGTGTGGTACGGTATGGTACAATATTTAGCTCGTACCGATACCATACCAAATATTTCGGTTCGGTATAAGATTTTACGTTGTATAGATCCCGATCCCGAAGCATCGATTCGGTATGGTTCGGGATGGTTCGGTATCGTTTTCGGTATGAATCGGGATGAATATATACGTACCTAGTTTACATCATAAAATGTAACAAAACCTTTTATTTTTGAAAAATCAAATGTACATTTAACCAAAGAAAGATAAAAAAAATTTAAAAATAAGAAAATAAAATGCAAGAAATGCTTATGAAAGTTAGTTTATATTTCACAAACTAAAGAGAACGAGAGATAACAAAGTATTATTTCAAATATATGTTAATATTCTTATACTCATCTACAAAAAATAAAAAAACTCTTATTAAAGTGCAACTTAAACATAATGAAAATAAATTGAATTGTCTATATAAATTTTTTTATTTAATGAAAAAATATAAAAAGATTATTATTTTATAATATATTAGTATGTATGTTCGGTTCGGGAATTTCAATATGGGAAATAACCTCGTACCGTTCCCAAATACCAGACCGACCGTCCGGTTCGGTACGATTTGGTTTCTTTTCGGTACTTTATCGGTTCAGTATTTTTCAGTTCGGTATTCTCAATTTTTCAGAAAATATCGAGATCGGTTGATTCGGTTCGATCCTTGCTCACCTTAGTCTCTATTATCATGGAAAACGTGGGTAGTAGGCTTTTTAGCATTGCCCTTGATCCTTATCCAATACCGTTCGAACGTGTTTCGGTTGCTATATAATCCCCTTCAGGCTTTCTGTTCAGACCCAGCCGATCCCCATCTAAACCACAAAGAGCGTTTACTTTCTCGATCTCTCCATTAGAGCCGCCATTAAAGCTCATCTCGACAGAAAGCTAATCAATCTCACTCGTTCCGTTTTCGGTGAGTATTTGTAGTTTCTAGGTTTACTTTGTCTCTCTATTTTTACACATTTATTATGCCATGTGTTAGTCCATTTACCGAGCTTATGTGGAGTGTTTCTAGTGATTGGGTCGATTAAATCTGAATTTGTGTTTCATCGTCTTCATTTTCATCACTATTTGAAGAAATTTGAATTCTCACATTCGATCACGGACTTGATTTGGCAGTTTTTGGGGCATAATTCGAGCTCAATGTCTTCTTCATTTGAAGTGTTAAATAAGAAATTAGGCTTTTTTTTTTAAATGGAGGTTTGCCATCAAAGACAGTAAGCATGTTTGATGTTGTTGAAGTCAAGGGTGATTAATGGATGCATTTCATAATTAACTCCACCTCAGATTATGAATTTATGATGGGTGGATTGAAAACAGTCAGTCCATTTGTGATCCATTACGATTCATTAAACAGATCTTATCCATTATCCATTGTATATAATCCATCTGTGTTCTTATAACTTTCCATTTGTGGATAGTCTTAAGCAAAACATATGATGAGTATTTACTCCGTAGTAATCAAAATGAGTGATAAATCATTACTAAATAGGGAGTACAAAAAATTAGTATGATTTTGATGAACTTAGAATATTTTTAAATGAGATTCAATGGACTAAGTAAATAATGGATGGATCACAAATCAGCCATATGCCCATATAATGCAAATACATGTACTGAATCTATTCCATTATTGTTCATTTTTGGGTCAATTATCAGCATTTCTTCTTCAATCATTCTGGTTTAGAGTTTAAATACATCACTCCTATCTATCTCTATTGACTGATACATTTCTTCTTGAATTATTTTTTCAGCATAAACTTAGTGTCAACAAATCTTCTAGCGCCTCTTCATGGCTGTTGATCATCATTTCAGAAACGAACATAAATCCATCTCAGCTGCAGTAGAAGAAGACTGTCAGAAGACTACTCAGGCTTGCTTCGACTGTAACATTTGCTTGGATTTTGCACGAGACCCAGTCGTTACGCTGTGTGGGCACCTCTACTGCTGGCCCTGCATCTACGAGTGGTTTAACGTCCAGGCTCGTTCGGATGCTGACGATCACCTGCAATGCCCAGTTTGCAAGACTGAATTGTCACTCAGCTCTGTAGTCCCTCTCTATGGCAGTGGGAAGAAGGTGCCTAAATCTGACCAGGAAGCTCTGATGAAAGTACCACCAAGGCCATCTCCACAATCATTATCAATCCCCACTACTCCACGGGTTTCATACCAAGATCGTGTTAGTCCCAGGCCCGTGCCATTCGACCTCGGATTGAACCCCCATGTCTTGGAGATGTATGGCGATATGGTGCTTGGTAGTGTGTTGGGGAACCCTGGAGGGTTGTATTCGTACCACCACCTCTTACACGGCGGGAATGGTAGCCCGACAAGGCTGAGAAGGCACGAGTTGCAGGCAGATAAGTCCCTGAACAGAATTACATTGTTCCTTTTCTGTTGCTTCTTCATGTGCCTGCTATTGTTTTAGTCTCCATCCAATCCCTATATGTACACTTGTATAAAACAATTATGTTGTGGCAAATGTGCTTCTTAGTTTCTATATTGATATGAAAAATGCTTTTTGTACACCGTCTCCTACACCACGAGTTCATAAAACTCTTTTTTTCTCGTTCTTGTCTATGTGACGCTCGGACTGAGCGTCACATGATGTCAGTGAGAACAATGGGCTGTCAGGTTGAAATGGGACAGCTAATAAAAGACAGCTTGAGTGGATGTGTGTGAAACATTTCTACGATTTCAATGCGACAAACTCACACGTTTGTTTGAGTTTGTCAAAGTCAGGCAGCTGATGACAGAATTAGTTGCGGCCATGGGACCAGTGTCCACCTAATGGATGTGGTGTGTTTTTTGTGTCCACTACATGGATGGGGGGGCCCCCACCATAGCCATATGTTCACATTCTCCGACGTGTGTTTCAAGAGAAAGAATTGTCCAAAGACAACGTTTTCGGAATATTCTATAAACCACACCCAAAAAAGGAGTTTTCATAGTGTTACACTGTTTTTGCATTTTTTGGGCATAATTGTCTCCTCAAAAACGAGTGGTTTGAAATTTCTCTACACAATCATTTCTCACCGTACGTTATTCATCTACTATTAAATTTTTTTAATTAACATTTAAGTTGTGTGGTGGAGAGGCTTTGGGATACACCAAGGTCATGTTCTTCCCAACTTTTTTTTGTTTATTACTTATTTTTATTGGAATCAGATCAGACTAGATTTCCAATTTATTTTTTTTTACTTATTACTTGTTCTTATTGAAATCACATCACTAGATTAGATCAAACTAGATCAGGTCGGATGAAATAAAAAAATAGTTTTAAATATAATTACATTCAGATCAGATAAGAACTTATTCCAATTAAATCAGAACTAATCAGATCAGGTGAATAGAACATGACCTGAGAGTACATATTTTGGTGTATCCCTAACATTTTTGTTGAAATTTAATTACTCTTTTCGTCTCAAATTAAATTTATCTCCTTTTTCAGAGCTTAAAGAAAAATAAAATTATTTATTTGAGATTTATACAAAGAAAAAAGAATTAATGTGAAGTACTCAATTTAATACTTAATGATGTGATAAAAAATTTGAATTTGAATTTTTAATCTAGATTTTGATCTAAATTACTTGTTTGAAATTAAAGAATTTGAATTTAGATTTGAACCAAAATTTTCTAATTCAAAACAAACTTAATTATGAACCACGCCTCTCTTCATGTCATTTACATGTTCACGCCTTTTTTAAATTTAAAAGTTGCAATTAGAAAGTGATCTTCACCCCCTCTTTTGCAACAACAGTTTCATACATATAAACCCGCTTCCATTACCATCTTTGTAAATTTTAAAATAAAAATTTTATAACTTCTCAAGAATTATTTAGAATTTGAAAGTATGAGCTTTCAGATATTGAAATTGAAATATGAAACTTCAAATAAATTCGAATTCTCAAACATTACCTAAAGGAATGTGAACATTTTTTTTGAACATTCTATGTAGTAAAAAAGATACTTAAGAGTGTTAAATATGATAGATACATCTCTTCCATCAACGAGAAGAGTTTCTTTCTTTATTTACCTAGACTTTACCTCTTAACTTTATGTACGGAGTATAAATATTTTAATTTATGATGAACAAAAATTCCAGTTCACAACAAGAAAACTATTTTAGAACGGATGAAGTAGAAGAGATGAAATGATTCTGAGTCACCTATTTCTTCCAATCCTTCAACAAATAGAAAACATTTTCTTTCTCTTTAGAAGTTTTTGTATGATTCCAACATTTTCACCACTTGAATTTTGATGGATTAAAAAAGAAGATGTACATGAAGCTTTGTTGCTCATTTATGAAGCTTTCAACGAATCTGCAGGGAAAAAACATCAAAGAATTATCAATTGCACATTACAATAACGACAAAACCAGTATAATCCCAACTCCGTTGGGGTTAGTCTACACAAAAATATTCTTTGAAAACAATTAGAGGCTGTATTGAGACCCTACATGAACTACATACTTCCTCCGTCCCATATAATTCTTGACACTTTGACTTCACGAAGTTCAAGGAAGTTGTTGAAACGTAGAAAGCGTGTGGTTAGAAATTCTTTAGAAGAGATAAAACTGTTGGTAGCTACATATTCATTAGTGTTTTTTGGGACATCTAAAGAAAAGTGTTAAAAGCTTAATGGGACAGGACAGCAGGGGTGGAAAGTAAGAAAACATTGTCAAAAATGATTCTTTCTCCTACATTGGCAATATAAGTTTGCATTATCATCTACCAAAAGGAATGAGGGGAAGAAAACTTACTCGTGTGTGCCGCCTTGTTTCATCAGAGCATAAGAATTCAATCACAGAAAAAACAACGGCACGAGATTCTGCACTCAAGGCTATACAACAAGATTCCTTCCTTCAGAGCACATCCATTTCATCATCGTCTCACAAGAGATTGTGTCGGGCTTCAAACCACGTGCTAACATTCTTCTGAAAACAACCTCTGCCTCCTTGACCTTCCCCGCTCGAAACAAAGACAACACGAGACAACTGTTGCACACATCATTTGAAATGCCACCACTCCCACCAACCCGGTCCACGACCTTATGAGCCTCCTCTATATGCCCATCCATGCACAGTCCCTGCACCAGAGTGGCCACCAACACTCTATTCGGCTTACACCCGAAAGCATCCATCTTGTCTAGAACAGCCACTGCCTCTAACGAATTCCCCTTTTCAACAAATGCCTGAATCAGGGTGGTATAGGTAACAGCATTTGGTTTGCAGTCGCCACTTTCTTTCTCCATTTCATCCAACAACTCCATTGCCCTCTCCAAATCGCCGAACCTTGAGATCCCATCAAGAAGAGCAGAATACACCACTGTTCCGGGAAAGCAACCATGCCCCTTCATCGTCTTAACCATCCCACAAGCCTCTTTCAACCTGCCCACGTCACACAACCCTTTGATTATCATAACATAAGTGGCCATATCGGGATAGAGATCAATTAACCTCATCTCTCTCATCAACCCCATTGCCTCATCCATGTCCCCTTTCTTACACAGCAACCTAATCACTCCATTATAAGCAATCACGTCGGGCCTACAATTGTATTCCTCCATTTTCCTCAACACCCACAATCCCAAGTCTGCATCTTTAGCCTCTCTGCACAAATTGAACACAACCCTGAACATTTTTACACTCACTCCACATCCCTCATCTGACGCATAAGCCTCAATTGCATCGGAAACAATTTTAGGGTTTTCATTGATCTTCAGCAAGTTACAAGCTTTCATATACATGTGTGTTGAGTGTCGGTACGAAGGTTGAAGACCCGCCCATATGAAGAATCTCAGGCCTACTTGGGGGTTTTCAACTGAAAACCTTTCGAGAACTTGGGTGACACAAGTTGCATCCAATTTGGCTTTAACTGAGATCAGGGATTTCTCAAATTTGGGCCCATTGCTCTGCAAATGGGTCACGAATTGATTTGAAGCAGATGATGACAAAGACGAGGACGTGGAGAAGAAAATGCTATTGCTGATTCTAAAGTTGAAGACTGAGAAGTAGGTAGAGATTGAGATAAACTTCATGGCAAATTCCTTCCGAGAAGATCAATTATGAAGAAAGGACATGCCAAACTTGTGGATAGATAACAGGTAGGATACGCGGATGATGGTTGACCAGATACGAGGTTAGAGCTGCAGAGGCCAACCCAAGAAATTCAACAACAAAATCAGCACGTTGTATGATAGAACAACTGAACAATAGCCATTGATAAATTACGTTACATATAAGAAATACGGAGTATATTTTACCCCTCTTTGGTGATTTTTCATTTACTTATCATGTTTCTATATATTCTCCTTTTTAAATCTACTTTGTTTCATATTTTTCATTCCTTATTGAGGCTCTTATCGTTAGACAATGTTTTTTAAACAATTAAATCTACATCTTAATGGCGACATTTTTAAATTTTAGATTTATACTCTTATAGATGTTTTGATAAGTCTACAACGATTTACCTTGATTATGATAATATTATTATCTAATGTCTTTGTATTTGATCTAGTAACATGAATTACAACTTTCCCTGCCTCTACGTATACTATGAGTGAAAAGTAAACAACAAATTGATAGGGACTAAACAAGTTGCAGTTAATTAACAAATGAAATTGATAAACTACAACTTATTCATTGAATAAAATAATTCAACTGTTTTATATTAACCACTCTCTATTTTATGTTTAATAAATTCCTTTTGATCATTCTCTTGTGTAAGTGTAACTGGCCGAAGAAAATCAACGACCTAATATATCTTTAGGATCTTTGAGAAATGATACATACTCTCTTTGGACAGTTCCTAATCAAAATAGAATTTTTTCCCTGAATTCTGAAAAAAAAAATTCTGAATTTGTTTTTATTAGCTGCACGCAAATTGTAAACTTCCCAATCCTGAATTCTGAATTTTTGAATTTGCACACAATCGGCACGGCACCCACAACTTAAAATGTTCTTAAACCCAGCTTTTAAATCCAGTACTCCAAACTTCAAACCCTAATAGCGATTGCCAATCAATAGTGCATTATTTGTATATCATACAAACAAATATCATTGAATATTGAAATTAGAGAAGGAAAGAAAACAAACAAACCTGACATTTGAGAAGCCGACTAACCGAACAGGATGAAAAGGGGATTGAACTCCGGAGGAAAAAAAACGGGCTGAAATTGAAATATGAAGAACAGAGCCGCTGAATCCAGCTCTTTTAAATTTGCTTGTGGATCCAAAGCCCAGGTTTTAATTTGTTGGAAAAATTCCCACAAACACTTTCAAAAATACCACTTTAATGAAAAATATTTCCAGATTTGAAAACTTATACTTTTGCTCCCAACTTATATCTTCACGTCGTTACTACTACTTGCCCGCTCAGCTGCTACGTAGAAAAAAAAAGTCCACTTGTATTTTGAGTACTTTTTTTTTATTTTTAAGTGTTGGGAAATTTGATTAATTAATCAAAAGAAAAAAAAAAGAAAGAAAAGAAAAATCAAAAAGAAAAAAAAGGATCCTGACAAAGGGAAAGCAAAAGTACTCCATGAGGGGAGTTAAAAAGGTGGAAGTATGCATGTGATTATGTTCTCTCCTGTAGCAAATTGATTGGGGCAAATAATTGTGTTCTCCTTGCCCTTTAAAATGGAGAGGCTACGGTGTATTTGTGTGTGTGGGTTTTACACACCACTAATGTAGAGAGAGAAGCATGGGAGAAATTCTACACAAGAATACCACCGGGAAAATCCAAGGGGTCTTGGTGAGTGTGGGTGAGTGTAGGGAGTAAATGGTTTTANTTCTCTCCTGTAGCAAATTGATTGGGGCAAATAATTGTGTTCTCCTTGCCCTTTAAAATGGAGAGGCTACGGTGTATTTGTGTGTGTGGGTTTTACACACCACTAATGTAGAGAGAGAAGCATGGGAGAAATTCTACACAAGAATACCACCGGGAAAATCCAAGGGGTCTTGGTGAGTGTGGGTGAGTGTAGGGAGTAAATGGTTTTAGTTACTCGGAAAAATACATCCGGGCATAGGATGTGAAAGATCTGTTTATGAGTGTCTGAAATTTAGTCTTGTAAACAGGGGAGAGTTTTTTGTATATTGTCCTGAAATAGTGGAAATATAATTTTTTCTCTCATATATTCTTCTTGTGTTTGTTCTTTCATTTTTCTGGTGTTCTCAATATTTTTCGGCATCTTACGCGCTTAAAATCCCAACAATTGGTATCAGAGCTTGGTTGCGCTAGGCAGGAGGGATTTGTAAGCGGTAAAAGGAGAAATTTTGAGAACCCAGGGAATGGTCAGTTTTGGCCAGAAGGCAACCATGGGACTTCAAGAACAAAGTGGATGGCATGAGGACCGGGTACGAAGCGACATGCTAGCTTTGTGAAGTATGGTGCGGAAACAGGACTTGAGGAGATCAGTGGTCTAGCGGAGTGGAAAACTGCAGTTTATGTCTTGTGTCGAAAGTCTTCCCGGCAAGAAGAGGTCGGGCGGCGTGTTCCGCAGGTGTTGCTGCGGCGGTGCAAGATGGGCAGATCGAAAGAAGCTAATTGCTAGAGGGGTGGTCTCAGAGAGTGTTAACAAAGGTGAGTTGTAATATTTTTTAGCTCGGGGTGGAGGGTTAAAACTCTAGCTAGGGAGCTAAGGTAGTGGCAGGGATCTTGACGGGATTCGTTGAGATGGAGTCACAGGTACAATGAAAACTGGAAGCGGCAAGAACCTTGTGGTATTGAACAAGGTGGAGCTACAAAAGCAATAAAGGGTGACAGAGATCTTGCGGTTTTAAGCAAGATGGGGTCCCAAGAAAATTTTTTCAACGTGGTAGTGATCTTGGTGGTTGGACCAAGGTGGAGCCACGAGGATTTTTTTTTCTTTGAGGTTGGCAGCGGTGATCTCGGTGGAGTAGATTGAGATGGCGCCAAGGATATTTTTTATTTCGGAGTAGCGGTGATCTCACCGGAGAAGTGAGATGGAGCTACAAAGTTTTTTTTGATTATTTAATCAAGGTGGAGTTTGTTGGGAAATTTGATTAATTAATCAAAAGAAAAAAAAAGAAAGAAAAGAAAAATCAAAAAGAAAAAAAAGGATCCTGATAAAGGGAAAGCAAAAGTACTCCATGAGTGGAGTTAAAAAGGTGGAAGTATGCATGTGATTATGTTCTCTCCTGTAGCAAATTGATTGGGGCAAATAATTGTGTTCTCCTTGCCCTTTAAAATGGAGAGGCTACGGTGTATTTGTGTGTGTGGGTTTTACACACCACTAATGTAGAGAGAGAAGCATGGGAGAAATTCTACACAAGAATACCACCGGGAAAATCCAAGGGGTCTTGGTGAGTGTGGGTGAGTGTAGGGAGTAAATGGTTTTAGTTACTCGGGAAAATACATCCGGGCATAGGATGTGAAAGATCTGTTTATGAGTGTCTGAAATTTAGTCTTGTAAACAGGGGAGAGTTTTTTTGTATATTGTCCTGAAATAGTGGAAATATAATTTTTTCTCTCATATATTCTTCTTGTGTTTGTTCTTTCATTTTTCTGGTGTTCTCAATATTTTTCGGTATCTTACGCGCTTAAAATCCCAACATTAAGTTCATTAGAAATGGGAGTCTTGAGTCTTTTAATTATTTTAAAAAATTAAATTTATTTAACTATATTTTTTGATATAGGTAATCTCTCTCTCTCAAAATATTTATTATTGTTTCAAATGTATTCGTCAAGTAACTTGCGATTGATCAAATGTGCTCCAAAATTAAAATGTCAAAAAAAGTACTCCATGTATTTTTTTTCAACCTCTAAACAAGATCAACCACTTAATTATCAGTCATTAAAATATAATTACGCATGAAATTGTATTGCACTCACTTTTTGTTATTTGATTTGTAAAGAATAATAACATCGGTGAGATATGTTTTAATAATACCCCATATTAGCATCTTGGAGAAATGATAGTTTTTCTAAGTTTTTTTTCATCGTTTCATACTCCTAATTTTATATTGAAGAATGGAGACGGTTTGCAAATTTCAAGATCCGAACCTGATCCGACTTTGTTCACGTTCAGGTTTCAAAAAAAAATGAGCCTCATCCCCGAGGGCCCTTTCAGCCCACGTTCAAGTTTCAATGTTTCACTTTAGCAAGTTGAGTTCGAATATTTTTTCTCAATTTGGATTCGAATATTTTATGTTATAGTCGTCAGGTTCGGATTGAATTGTCATCCCTACTCTTCCCAATGCTTGCACTTCCCGGATGCTTGCACTTCCCGGGAGGACTCCTGCAACTACTCCGCCCAATTAACCAATTCTCTCCGTCGGGAGAAAGAAAAAAGGGTACCCTAAAAATCTCAAAGAAATTAAATATTTTAAAAAGTCAAGTTATTAGTAACAGCATACCGACAAGTCATAAACTTACACAGTACTTGCACCAAAAACATAACAACAACAAAAAATGGCGAACAAAACATACATCTTTCTATGTATTATTCTCATTAACCTGACAAGGCAGACTTGAGCTCACCACTGTTCTTCAACTCCAGTACTATGTCACAGCCTCCAATCAGCTCCCCCTTGTAGTACAGCTGCGGATACGTCGGCCAGTTTGAGAATGTCTTCAATCCCTCCCTCACTTCCCCATCGCTCAATATGTCAAACGACCCGAACTCGATCCCCTCCTCGTTCAGAGCGTTCACCACCTTGGAGCTGAAACCGCACTTCGGCGCGTCCGGGGAACCTTTCATGAAAAGCATCACGGGCGAGGAACGCACCAAATCCTTCAACCGTTCTTCTTTTCCAAGAATGCCCTTCTCGACCAAAACCTTGGCAAGCTCCCCACTCTTTTGCATCTCTAGCACAATGTCGGACCCACCAATGAGTTCGCCCTTGATGTAGAGTTGAGGGTAGCTTGACCAGTTGGAGTACACTTTCAGTCCCTGACGAACTTCTTCGTCGGTGAGGATGTCGAAACTCTTAAAACCGACTTTTTCCTGGTTAAGTATGTCCACTACTTTGCGGCTGAACCCGCATTTTGGCTCATTCGGGCTCCCCTTCATAAAGAGCATAACTGGGCCTGAATTGATCAGGCTTTGCAGACGGGTTGTTAGTGCAGCACTCAGGCCCGATCCAGATGATGGTTGTTCCTTAGGAGAGTTGGAGATTTCAACAGCTCCAAGATCCTTAAACGCATCCTTCAGTTCGCCGCTTTCATGCATCGCAGTTGCAATGTCACACCCACCAAGAAGCTCACCCTTGTAATAGAGCTGAGGAAATGTTGGCCAATCAGAGAATGTCTTCAGCCCCTCTCGAACTTCCTTGTCCGTTAGAATATCAAAGGTTCCAAAAGCAACCTTCTCTTTCTTCAGAATCTCAACAACTTTCTTGCTAAAGCCACATTGAGGCTGTTCGGGACTTCCTTTCATGAAGAGCATGACTGGGTGGGAATTAATTAACTGTGTCAATCGTGTTTTTAGTCCATCATCACCAAGAGCAGAGGGTGGTTGGGCTTCAACATGTGAATAACTGGTATTGTTCTTGGCAAGATTTTGTACAGTCTCAATGATGGTTGCCCCGGCAGCCATTCCGAGGCTAGCAGGGGCAGCAGGTTCTCCTGGTGTTATTCTCCCAGAAAGTTTGGAAACCTTGTTGGCCAAAGCAGAAGGATTGGCACCTTCCAATGTATCTATGGTTTTGCCATCCTAATAGAAACAAGAAAAAGAACATAGCAATGCAGCCCATCATGCAAGGAATAAAAGCATACAAAGTCTGGAGGGAGAAATAGATGTTGTGCCACTTCAATAGACAATTAAATTAAAAAAAAGGCACATATATGTGGGCCTGAAACCTTATAAGCGAGATATTGTGGAGAGAATCATTTATGACAAATAGCAATAAATGGTGTTTAGGAATACGAAAAAAATGCGAAGGATTCGTTTGCAAAATAAAAAATGCTCACCAAAGAGAGTAGGGAAAAAAATATACTACGTAGGAAATAATTTGAAGGAAAGAAACTTGGGGGGAAATAGAAGAGGGACTCATCATTTTAAGTAAGTTGCATGCCCATGACTTGCTTTCATAGAATTCATACACAAAAAACTGAATACGATAATTGGCAGAACAGTACAGCAAAACCAATTTACATGTCCAATTACTAATAACAATCTTTTCCCTGAAACATATCAATATATCATACACTCATACAGAATTATTCACAAAAGTGAGCCATAAAAGTAAATGAAAAGAAAAATATAACCTGAAATAAACAGTGAAACAATCAATAAAAAAGTAAAAACTCATCCAATTTATGTTACCTTGATGAAAACAAAATAAGGAACTGCAGACACTGAATATGCCTCTGAAATTTCGGGTTGTTCTTCAGCTTCAACCTGTCATTACAAGAGGCGAGTATTAAGTGGGTTTGTGTGTGAGAAGTTTGGGAAGAAAAGAAGGTTAACAACAGAAAGAAGTTGCAAATGAAATTTCAAATATGATCCTTCCATTTTCAGGTCCACAGAAAAGTGTCAACTTTTTTAAAGAACGAGGCTACATAACCATTTTTTAAATAGAAAGAGGTTAAATAACCAAAAAGATCAAGAAGAGTGTACAATTTGGTTTAAATAAATGCAAAGTAATTTTCATGTGCAGAAACAACTGACCGCAAAAAAATGATGATTCAAAGTCACAATGAACAAAAAAATACTCCATAAATAGGAATGGCAACTTAAATACAGACGAATTTCAAATGTGGATACTTTTAAAATGTGAAGCAAATGAATACTCTATACTCTCACAACTTACAATTAAAGAGATTCAGCGCTAATACCAAGAACAACAACTGAGTAAGATCCCACAAAACTAAGGTCTGGGGAGGGTATGTGTGCACAGACCGTACCCCTACCTGAGAGTAGAGAGGTTGTTTCCAAGAGACCCCCGGCAGAGCAAATAACATGACAACAAGATCACAAAAGCAAAAAAGGGTAATAAAATAGATTCAAATGCTAATACCAAATAACAGAAAGAGCAGAAGACAAAATTTACTCGGTATATTTATTTTATGGATAAAAAACATCGTTTAAAAGTAACAAGAAAACTATTAACAAACATCATCTAAATTTACATCTTATACTCTTAAAAGTCTGCAGACTTTCTTGTGTGGCTGATCAAAGGGTGAGAGCCATAGCTAAATCACAAGTTTTGTACTACTAGTAATGTACTCCGTATAAGAAACCAATTTCAATTCAAGAGGAACAAAAAAATCAAAAGAATAGAACACATACAGTAGCAACATATATACAGTCAAATGTGGATATATGATCCATAGCTCTCTTCTGGCAGCAAATATAATATTTCTCAGTCGATTTAGCATTAGCATCACAAGAATACCAAATACAACAGAAACAAGAGATGAATTCAACCATATACATCGCTAAACGTGTGAAATGGATATAATCAGGGGACGGAGAGGAAAGCTTTTACCCTGAGGAAGTGAGTATGAGGGATATCAGTGGAGAGGTGGGAGAAGACTTGGTCCATGTGCTTGGAAGCCTCACACCACGCGGCCCAGAAGTGCACAACCGCCGGAGACCCGTCGGCGATAATCTTGCCAAGCTCCTCCTTCGACTTCACCTCCTTGACAATTCCACCCATTATTCTCCCTTTGCCTCTCTCTCTCTCTCTCTCTCTCTCTTTCTCTTTCTCCCACTCGCTGTGTGTCGACGGTGACCACCGCAGAACTCCGACGCGGTGGATTCTGCTAATTCCGGATTTTTCAAAAGCAATTAGGGCTTAAACTGGGGTCGCCTGTGGAGAAAAATTGCAAAAGGGCTCCGTCCCCTTACAAGACAAACGCTAGACTAGCATAAAAAGTTCCCAAAATTTACAAATTTATCATTTCTAAAATTTATCTTTTTAATTATGCAAAATCATTTTGTTTTCTTAATGTTCATAATTAATAAGCTATTTTCTATTTTAATTAATAAGCATTTTTAATACTAATAAATTTATTAAAATTGTAGTATTTGTTTGTACATACTTTTGCAACTTAGATTGAAATAATGAGAATTCTCGCCTCCACTGGGATTGAACTTGTGAGTCGCGACCTTTCATTTGAAAAAAAGTGATATTATTGCACCACAAAGACTTTAGTCATAAATAATAAATTTGTAAGTTTTGTAATTATTTTGTTTATTACTCTTGCATTTTTCCTTCCCTTAACGCATCTTGAGTGCAAGATGCTTAAAGAAGTTGCTTAAACTAAAAAAGTTGATGTTGAATTTATGTGGAGTACATGTGGAGAACTAGTTGTTTCATTTTTCAACAAAGTTGCTTAATGAATCGACTCTATCTAAGTTAAGAACTTTCCGTAAGTAATCCCCTTTAAAGATGTTCTAAAATACTTCTGCAACTTATACCATACAATTAGCGGTACGATTTTCACTTATCAATTACCGAGTATTATTCCCAACTTTCTTTAATTTTTGTTTATTTGTATATTTTCAATAATAATTTGATAAAATAAAATATTATTATCATACTTTGTTTTGTAGACTTTTGATATACTTTTAAAAAATGTAACTTATACTATTTCTTTCAATATATAAATTTGTAAATAAAATAATTTTAAAAGAGATGAGATTTTGTGAGACATGAAAAAGAGAGATGATCAAAAGGATCGCACCAGTCGGACCAAACTAGTCTTTTAGAAAGATCAGTACTATTTAGGACGAGATTGATTTGGTCTTTTTTAAAAATTGGTCAAAATTATCCGGTCTTTGTTAAACAATAGAGACTTTTTGGGACCAGATAGTCTAGCTAGGGCGGATCCTAGTATGGTACGGTCTCTATTTTTTAAAATTTTTAAAATATTACTTTTTAGTTTTTTAGAATACTAAAAAGTATAAATATTACTTATTTTTTATCTAATTTCTTCAATTATTACATGTTGATGATAGATATTAAATACATCAAATAAAAAAATATTATTTTTGAGTATAAACTTGTACATTTGAATTTGTTATGACATATTTTTAAATTTATAAAAATAAAATGAAGTATTAAGTTGTATATTAATAAGTTAATTGTATTTCTATTTTAATAATATGTTAAAAAAATAGAAGTGTTAATGTAAAAGTTACAAAATATATTTTAATGTTATATTATGAGACTAGTCCTAATCCGTTCCCGGTCTAGACTTTTTATAAAAGACCACATGTCCGGGCCTGGTCTTGTCCTTCCCTCAATTTAGATTACTCAAATAAGAGTATCGGTTTAAGATCGGACCGGTCCCAAGGACCAGTTTAGTCCCAACTTTTCCCTGTACAATACCAATTTATCTTGATCGATCTTTTTGATCCCAACCTCTTTGCTCTTCTTTATTAATTGGAAAGTATATCAAAATAACTCTATCTTTTAAAAGAAAAGGTACCCACTCAATTTGCACATTCCTTATTATGATATTTCGATATATTTCCTCCCTTGTATTAGCAAATTCTAACTATATCTTTCACACGAATTTCATGTATCAAAATATGAAGATTAAATGCAATTCCAAACCGTGACGCCTTTATGTTCTAACCATCCCAACCGTTGTTGTTGGAAATATTGATTACTGCTAAATAATTCTATATATATAATGAATTGAAGCCATTGATGAAGTAATTAGCTAGCAATAATAACCAATGGTATTAATAATTATATTCTACTAAATATACAAAAAAATGGCAGTGTTAAAAGTGTCTTGCACAATTGTTATAACTCTGTTGAGCTTAGCACTTATCTGCTCTACTCACAAAGTTAACCCCCCACCAAAAGCAAGAGAATTAGTTGAGGGACAAAAATCATCTACTCATGATGATGACCACCATGCTTTGAGACATGAAGATGATCTTCATTCCGGCGGCATCCTAGGAGGTTGGGGCGGCGGTGGAGGAGGAGGCGGTGGTGCCCCTACTGACTCCGGTTTTGGTGGCGTTCCCAGCTCTGGTAGTTGGGGTTGGGGTAGTGGCGGTGGAGGAGGAGGTGGTAGTAGCAGCAGTGGAGCGGATAGTGGCGTTGGAGGTCCCAATTATGGTTCTGGTAGCGGTGGCGGTGGTGGCAGTGGAAGTAGTCCTACTTATGGCCCTGGCATAGGTGGGGGAGGAGGCAACCCTAATTATGGCTCTGGTGGCGGTGGAGGAAGTGGTGCCAGCTATGGCCATGGTACAAGCGATGGAGGTGGTTGGGGAGAAATTCCAAATTATGGTTCTGGTGGTGGCGGAGGAGGAGGCGGTGGTGGAGGTAATCCTAGCGTGAGCGGTGGAGGAGGCGGTGATACTACTGGAAACGTGCCTAGCTATGGTGGAGGTGATGGGGGAGGTAGTGGCGGAAATTCGAGAAACAATGGAGGTACTGGTAGCGGTTGGGGTGGGCACCATCCGTGGGGATTCCCCTTCCCATTCGGACTCCCTCCGCTACCCTTCCAGTGCCAACACATCAAATGTGTTGGCCCTACTTGTCCTAAATATCAAATGCACATCCATTTTGACAAGCATTATGAAAATGAACTTGTTCATGACACCAAACAAGACATGCCATCTCAATCTCCCTAATAAACAATTTTCACATTATATTCCATTGTATCCATCTTCAAATTAGCTGTTGATTAAATTAAACAGCATTTGCCTATGCAACAATAAACAACATTTGCCTCTCCTCTCCCGTACTAATGTTACCATTAAAAATTACTGTTATATATCAATTTCAAAACAAAACATCAAAGTTACATAATAATATCAGATGGGACCATCATATATAAGTCGAATAAATTAATACGCTAGATGCAACCAAAGATCTTGTGTTCGTTTGGCATATAAATGTGATTTTTCCATATTGAAGGTTGCATTTTAAATCCCAGTATATATGGACGTTAAGTCTTTGTCCTTTAATAGGTAGAAAACATATGTATGATCAAATGTTACTTCGTACATTTTAAAAGAGTCAATATTACTAAAGCACTACGGTTCGGTTGCCCATTCCGTTTGGAATGCCTATGGCGTTCTGTTCACAAAACTAATAATTTCTACCCCTGACTATTCCTATAACCCCCCACCTCAGCCCTACTTTTGCCCCTATACCCCAACCTCATCCAAGGGTTACTAAAAAAGGTGAGATACGTGGAGTTATACATCTAGGTCAAAACTCAAAAGCCACTTAGAGAGGCCTAAGGACAATATCTTCAATTAGTATTTTGAATTCATTTTTAATAATGCAAATAAGTTTGAAAACACTTATTTGATAGTGTCAAGGAACCGACTCAACCAAAAGCTCAAGCTTGTGGTTGTGGCCCAGGAACAGTTATTTATATTCTAACACGCCCCCTCACGTGCAGGCGTAGTTTTTTCGAGCCTTGCACGTGAAACCTTAATTTTTTTTAAACTGGGTGGCGCTGAGTTTCGAACCCGTGACCTCTTAGTCAACGAGGCTCTGATACCATGTCAAGGAACCGACTCAACCAAAAGCTCAAGCTTGTGGTTGTGGCCCAGGAACAGTTATTTATATTCTAACAGATAGGATTAGACAACGGCTGAATGGGTGGTGGAGGAAAATTCTTTCTAAAAATGGTAAAGAAATGTTGTTAAAACGGTGGCTCAAGCTATGCCTCAATTCGCTATGAGTGTCTTTCTTCTTCTGAAGTTTACTTGTTCAGAAATTAAGAAGATGATGAACTCCTTCTGGTGGGGGGAAGGGTACGAATGGAAGGGAGATTCATTGGTTATCTTGGGAGCGGATGACTAAGCCAAAGAAGTTTGTCGGGTCTGGATTCCGTAATATCCATGTCTTTAACGTAGTTATGTTGGAGAAACAAAGGTGGCGATTCTTGACTAATCCCAATGCTCTTGTGACTCATGTCTTTAAGGCACGATATTTTCCAAAAACTACGTTTTTTGAGGAAAAGGGTGGAGGTTCAGCCAGTAGTTATTGGAAAAGTATATTGGTAGCCCAGGAATTGTTAAGGGTAGGAGGACTATAAAACGCATTGGTAATGGATTGGATACACCGGTGTGGGGAACCCCGTGGCTTGTGGATACTGTTGACCCGTTTCTTGGAACTGCTCAGATTCTGCAACTTGAACACTTACGGGTTGGACACTGGATCAATCAAGAAGAGGGTTGTTGGAAGGAGGGGTTCTTCACGCTGTTTTGGAGAATAGGGAGGTGGAACAAGTTCTTAGGTTTTCGATAAATGTCCAGCGGCAAGATGGATGGTTCTGGAAAGATTATCTCCATGGGTGTTATACGGTAAAATCTGGGTACAGACGTTTAATGAGAGAAGTGTCGCAGGTTTTTACTTTCACTGAATGGGGATGGTTCTGGTAGATATGGGCTGCACCTAAGGCACTTATTTGTATGTGGAGAGCTATTCGGGGTATTCTCCCTTCAATGGAAGCTCTTGTTTCGAGACGGGTGGATGTTGATGGGGTGTGCCCATTATGTGGATTTCAAGGTGAGTCTGTTGATCACATATTTCTTTGGTGCAGGTATGCAGATTCGGTCTGGCGTTTGGTTGGGAAGGATGGAGAAAGGGTTATGGCATCCTCTTTTATTGATCAGTTCTGGCAACGCATGCATGTGGAGTCATTGAAAGGAATGGAGTTTATTATGTGGACGTTGTGGGGTATCTCATATCTGGAAAGCACGGAATTTAGCAGTTTGGGAATGTCACGTTCCACTGGTTCAGATTACGGCACAATTAATATCAACGATGAATGATAACTGGGCAAAGAGAGGGACGGCTAACTCAGCTCCAACACCTCAGTCTCACGCAGGGGAGCAACGGATGTTTTCCCAACAGTGATTCGTTGACGCTGCATTATTTCCACATGCGGAAGTTGTGAGCTTTAGATATGATATGTCCATGGTGGAGGGAGCTTTCATTGCTGTAAAAAATGAAAGGATTCATAGCCCTCAGGACTCTTTATTGGCGGAAGCACTTGCCTGCAAAGAGGCTCTCTCATGGTTGAAAGAGCGAGGAATCTGTGAGGTCAAGTTGATGTCTAATTGTCAGGCATTGGTTGTAACGACCCAAAACCCGGCTTAGTAGTTAGCCGTTATTTTAATAAAAATAAATATAATATTAATTTACTCTAAAATATGAATTATTTGTAAAGTTGTCCATTTGGAATAAAAATTGGGTTTTCGGATAGATCTCGAAGAATGGTGACCAATGGAATATAGTTTGTTAAATTTGGACATACGTATAAAGCATGGTGAGTAAAATAGATGTTACAGTTCAATAAATAAATGTAAAGATTTATAATAATATAAAGCAATATTAAAAATGGAGTATGCACGTGATATACTCCTAGTTACAATTGGAAAGCCCAACTGCCCCTCAATATAAATTCATATACGGAGTCATTGGTTCTGCGGCAAATTACATCTATACGGAGTTATTGTTTGCTGCCGCGAGAGAGACAAAGCCAGGACGTGCGACAAGAACAGAGCAGCCAGGAAATCGACCTGCCGTCACTGCTGCTTCCCCAGCCGCCGCTGACACCAGTGCCTCCGCCGTCTGCTCGCCGGAAAATCTTCGACTATTTGTTTTATTTTAAGTCGTCAAATAACCGAGGTCAGAACTTGCACATCTAACGCTAGATTATGTATATAGATTTGAAATTCACGTTCGTAGTTTCGTATGATTGATTACGTGGTTTATTTGTTTATAATCGAATTGTGATTTATTTATATCTTATGATAATATTGGAATTGATTGAACAAGGATGAACAAGTATGTATTCTTACTCTAAATTGTGTAGGTTTGCATGATAATAATCTTTAAAAACGTTGTACATATTGTATGGTTTGGAATTGGATCGAAATCTGTCGTTCCGGTGACTTCCCGACGTCAGACGGTAGCTAGGTACCGTCTAGCGGTATCGTGCTACCGCCACAGAAGGTTGCCACTGCCGGTACCTGCGCCCGCACGGTACGGGGGTACCGGACCGACGGTACCAAGGTACCGCCTGGCGGTACTAAGGTACCGTAAGGGGTACCGGACCGGCAGACTGTTCGATCGATTCTTCGTCTGTTTGTTCTGTTTCAACTTTTGGATTGTTCCCTATGCCTTGTGTCTTGCATGACGGTAAGTGGACGGTGTTTAAACCTGACACTAGGCCGCTAAATGAGTTGCTTGATGGATTACCTGATTATTGAATGTAATCCTGTTGTGTTTTAAAAGTACATAAGGAGCTGAGATTGATGTGGAATAAGTCTGAACTATAGAGATGTTGTAAATAAATGATTAGGCTACCTAGAGGAACTCTAGGACTGCCTTAGTAAGATTGTAAGTATGAATGTCAATAGATAGGATCAGCCCTGCGGATCTGATATCCGGCGGCTGCGGGTTAAAACGTACGTACGGGATCCGAGAACTGTCGTTCCGAAGGGGACAGGGGTACCACCCACCCAGCGGAGAACTCCTTCGTTGGTCATCAGGTTGTGTTGTGTCATAAGGTATTAAATAAGGTAGACTTGAGTCATGGCCGTAGGTAGTGACTCTAAGTCCGAACATAAGGTTGTAAATATGGAAGTATGGACTTAGTCTGGTAATTATGTTATGAGCTATGAATTAATAGGAAATAAGGTAATGATTTGTCACTTGTGAATTTATTTGGTGACTATTATGTTCTATTATATTGTACTTGTGTGCATGATATTGTATGGAATTATGAGCTAGTGGGTTCGTCTATGTGCGTAGTCGAACGTTAGATAGATTCCACTCAGCTTCAATGCTGAGCGTGTAGCCCTTTTTCCTATTTGCTACACGTAGGTAACAGGAACAATGAATAATGAGACGGTCTTGGAGGCAGCGAGGGCAAAGAGATGGATGGATGCTAGCTGGAGGAATTATCTAATTTAATATTTAAGTTTGAATTATTATATTCTTAAGGGCAAGAACCCAAAGTTGTATTTTGATTAAGAACTTAAAGGCTTCCGCACCGTTTTGTTAACTCTGATGGATGTTTAAATATTGTTTTAAATTAAATGTTTTTATATTGTTTTGAAAATTATTGTGTCTGAATGTCAATTTAGTAGTAACCCGATCCGCTGGTCTTTGTATTCGGGTCACGCGGGTTGGAGTGTTACATTGGTTCATGCTATTCACCAAGGTGAACATTTTAAGCGTGCCTCATATCTGGGGTTCATGATTGATGAATGTCTTTTGATTATGTCTTCTTTTGATTGTATTCATTTCATTTGTAGATCTTTAACTTTAGTGGCCCATACCTTGGCTAGAAATATTGATGTTCACCAGGATTTATGTGAATCTTTTCTACTTGATTTTGTTTCTCGATGATTTTATCATATTAAATGATGTGTTTTTCACCATCAAAAAAAAGTTGAAAACACTAAAATACACGGAATGTTGACATTGAATAGCATTTTCAAAATACTTAAACTAGACGTTTAATTTGTTGCCAAATAACAGCATTATTTTATTATTATTCACCTTGTATTTTTGATCTATTATATACTACACAGTAATTTTAATCATACTTCGCAATACTGCCTTTGTCTCAAAATAGCGTAAAACAAGAAGTGATATGATGATATTATTTTATCGAATGTACAGCAAAACGAGCAACAAAGTGAATAATAAAAGTAAAATAATTTTTTGGACGAAAAGAGGTAATTAATTGAGAATTGGATCCAAAAATAGAAGAGTTAAAAAAATGCATATGTTTGGATTACAATTTGGCAAACTTCTTGAGATTATCAGCAGAATTTATGGCGTGTGGAGGAACAGACATAACCAACAGAGTGACCCTCGAAGTAGACACCGTTACTTCTTCTCCTCCACCAGTCTTCCATAGCCTAACTTCCCACACCTGAACAGTGTTCCCGGCGTCGACCGGTGAGGCCTCGGCGAAAACGAGGTCACCCAATCGGGCACTCCTCAGATGGTTGATGGTGAGCTGGATGCCGGCGACTCGCCGGAAACCGGAAGACATGTGGGCGCCCATGCTTGCCAGAGACTCCGCGATCAGCGCCGACACTCCGCCGTGCAGCACCTTGAAAGGCTGGCAGCAGATCTCCGTCACGGGCAGCCGGCCGGTGACCCTGTGCGGTGTTAGCTCCCCGATCTCGAACCCCACTGCGTGCAGGGTCGGATCCAGAATCTCTGTCTTTGTTCTTGATGAATCCATGGGGGTATTGATTTCTTGATTTTGAGCAATAAGACTTTCCTCTTAGAGGAAAAATGAAAATGAAAATCAAATTAGGGGGGGTTGGATTAGAGAAGAACCAGGCATTTATAGAAAGTCTATAATCAAAGACTCGTTGAATATTCATTAACCACTCGTTAATTACTCCTTTCAATGTGTACTAGTACGGTACATATACATTTTACGTAATATATATGATCATAATTGTTAATGTAAATCTATTTTAACTCTTATTTTAAGAATAAAAATATGAAACTCAAATGTTAATATATTTTTAATGTTTCGCTCATACTTTTGTCTTTTTTCCAAAGAATAACATAATTACTACGTAGTATTTCGGTATCTCGATAACTTTTATTTGTTTTACTCATTTTGGTTGAATATTTGGTAAAATAAAATATTTTTGTCGCATCTTATTTTGTAAAATTTTTGATGTAGTTTTAAAAGATACGAAGTATAATTTTTACCTTTCAATTTTCTACTAATTTGTAAATAAGTGATTTTAAAAAATATAATATTTTACATGTTATTCGAGATATTGTAAACAATTTGGGACAAACAGAGTACATTTTTGGGCATGATCAACAAGGATGTAACTGTTAGACAAACTGTCATTTGATAACAACATTTTGAAAATTTAGTTGCACCATAAAAAAATTGCAAAATGGTAACACTACCTAAAAAAAGGTTCATTCCAATCAAAGCCACTTTCAGGTTTAGACCAGAGCTGATTGCCCATTTTTATGTTCTGATTTCTTTTCCTTCGACTACGAGAATGTGATATGTTTGTGGATCTGGTAAAGTGATGACTTTCCAGCATTGACCAATAGATCTGAATGAATTTGGCAAGACCCCATTTATGTTAATTACTCCTCCGTACTGTAGTTTAACTGTATCAACTATTTAAAAGTTACATTTTCCCTACAATTTTTAAGCATATGATCTTTATTTTCTCTAGGGGTGAGCAAGTACCAAATTCATCCCGAAATTTTCCAAAAAAACCGAGATTATAGAATAATGGTATTACACTATTACTGTATTAGGCATATATGCAAGCTTGGCCGTGACTGAGAACTTCTTCCAGATTCTTCCAGCTCTGATGTGTTAACCAAGACTGAGAAAAGAAGTGGGATCTCACTCAAAAACAAAGACATCTCCATTCCAGCTACAAGAAGCAACAACATTTGGAATCATGGGATGAAATGCGACATCTATGCAGGCTTGGCCGTGCGCCTTGAGCTTCTTCTTTAGCACACACGATTTCGAGTCGTAGAAGTAGATATGCCCATCTGAGGACCCACACACGACAATACTCCCATTCGAGTTGAAATTGCATTTGATAGGGAATCCGGAAACACTATGGCTTTCATACCTCTTGTATTTGTCCAGCCTGAACGGAGGCGTTGTTGAGAAGATCGCTATGTAGTTTCCGTTTGATTGTGCTATGAAGTAGGGATCGGATGGGTGGCATCTTACAGAGGGGCAAGTATAGGCTTCAGAATAGACCTGAAAAATAACATCATGAGTGAGTATATGTAGAATGCATGAATACCAACATTGCATTACGATGAAAATGGTTTCATAGTGAGGATATGTTCAAAGGGAAAACTACTTAACTAAGACTAAAACATACTACTTCATATACCAAAATTAGACTTTCAATATTTTTATACCAAAATAGGACCTAGAATGCCAAAACGTGTCAATATTTAATGTCACAAAACACTCCGAAACACCAACATACAATGCCGAATTGTGGTATTGCAAAATAGGAGGTCTTACTTTGGTATACATTTGATGTTTTAGTCCTAGTTAGGTAGATTTCTTATAGGAAAATACTTGTACCTGGTTAGATAAGGGGATTTCCCGAGAGATGTCCCAAATAATGATTGAGTTCTCGCTGATATTGCTTCCAGAAACATCGCTCGAGGAGATCAACTGTTTGGCATCACCGGTGAATTCCACATCAAGAATTGGACCAAGATTCCGTTTATATTGATGGACAACCTTTCCGGTCCTAACATCCCACAATTTAAGGCCGCCTCTAGATCCTCCAGAGATAAAGAGGTTGAAATTGTGCGGATGAAATTTCACCACTCCAACAACTTGGTCCTCCTTGAATACCTGACTCTCAACTCCCTTTTCAACATCTATTAGCCGCGATGAGCAGTCATATCCGCACGAGAGCACAGAGTGCCCATTATTTGACCACTTCACATCTTTTACAGCAGCAGCGTGATGATTGAATATGCGCACTTTCTTACTATCTCTACTCCAAACACTCCATATGCAGACAGTTTGATCCATTCCAGCAGATGCAAGAAGGTGAGCTGAACACTTGACACTTCAGGATTAAATTGGGATTCGATGAAACAAGCACCATCATTCATGTTAAGCTTAATAAGTTTATGGAGCCCGAGTATATAACTATGATAAATGTTGAATTGAATAGAAGGATGATTACCCATTTACACACAATATTGAGTTGATGTTATGAGCACTCAATATGCATACACCATATGTTGGGTTATACTCTTAATCAATCAAGGTCCATAAAGAGGGCGAAGCAAATCAGTCCAATGTGATGTTCAGAGTCCAGATGAGATCAACGAAACATGATTCATGCAGAGAGTATAATAATTTTAAAAGTTCTAATTTCAAACACTAAAAAAGCATTTCCCCACCCCTACCTTGGTTTGGAAGTTGGCCAAAAATAAAAAAGAATAAAGTGATTGAAAATTTTGAAACTAACCAAAACTATAGGCGGAACCAGAATACATAAACCAAAAAATTTCAATTGGTAATTCATAGATAAATAAAGTTTCAATTTAAAAAATAAATAAAAATCAGGAGCAAAATTTGAGAATGTTAAGAGTATAATCGATGAACTTTAAATGGAATGGCATGGATAATAGGGAGACTCTGAATAGATTATAGATCTATCTATGAAAGATTTAGTTTCAGGCTGCATAAAAAGGGCTGACTTCACATAAGTGTTGGCCTCATTCGAAGCAGCTCAACCTCACATTCATTTTAAGATGTCAAATTCATTAATGTAGAATTTACCAATGATAAAGGTGGCCTTTTGGTGTTAGTGTGTTACTGAACAAACACAAATGTTAGGCTACTCAATACTCATGTAAACACACTCTACACACGAAGTACAATCCATTGTGTAATGAAAAGGGGAATGAAGTTTGAGAAACAATTATCCTTAACTCAAAAAGGGCCACCAGTTTCACGACATTCATCACTTGGATTTCCACATGAAATTGGATGTTTACTTATTTTTCAAACTCTAAGGGTCCGTTTGGTGCACGGATCAGACAGAATTGGAATTGAATTGGAAATTGAAATTCTATGGAATTGATTTGGATGGAATTGAAAATTCCTATTCCAATTCATTTTTGGCACTACCTATTCAAATTCCTTCATTTCACTTCTAATGGAAACCACAATCCATTCTTTGATACGTAGTTGATCGCAACCAAAGATGACATGGATGACGAAAAATGGGGGGATATTGTATAACATTAAACTATGTATGGAATACTTACGATGATTTTTTGACCATTGTACTGCATTAACAGATCTTGTGTGCCCATCAAGCGCTATGGACAGTCTCTCTGGCACTTGACAAGAGCTCTTATCTATGTTCGAATGATGCCTCAATGCTGATAAAATGTTTTGAGGAAGATCGGAAATGGAAATAGGTCCCAAAGCTGGAAAAACAGTATCTTAAACAAGTTAGAAGACGGACAAACAGTTAATAGAGCAATCAAAAACATAACAAATGGTTAACAATTTTGGTTCTAATGTAAGACTGATAGAGATGTGATAAAATGTAGGATAAAGTGGGAGATAATACCTGGAGAAACGGGAGAGGGAGATTGGTTGGGAATGGAACCCAATGAAGATGAAGCCAATGCGCTTCTCTCTCGCTTAGAGATGTACCTGCCCGGAATCGGACCATCCACAGAGGGCGAATTCGGACTTACATTAGGGTGAAACACCTGCAAGGGTTTTAAGCCGGGATCCATGGATGGGTCGGGTCTGGCCCGCTTCTGAGGACGATTCCATCCATTCGTGGTGCGTCCAGCTCCGGGATGGCCATCCTCGTCTTCGTCCAGAGCACAAGAGTACGCTTTAGACAAAAGATCCATGCGGCGAACTAGTTACAATTCGCAGAACGAGCAAGACTTTACCGAGTGCTGGAGTGGCAGAGGTTATCTTGACGGTCTATACCCCGGCCAACGGAGCAACAAAGCATGCTTAGCGAGTATTTAGGGAGAAAAAAAAAATCACAATATCGGTAGGCATGGAAGGAAGTATGTATGCCTACGAGGAGTGAAAGAAGGTCTCAATTGAAAACTTGCACCAATACCATGTAGAAAATGATAGAGAAATACTCCGTATTATTCTATATTGAATTGTCTTGTTGAATACAAAGAATCAATTTTCTTTATATAGAAAGGGGGTAAAACAAATATGTGAACTTTTAATAATTATATTCCTACTAAAACAAAAATTATACTCCTTTCGGTTTTAAATTTTTTTCTGTTTTGATTTTATTTGGTCAAATAGTGACACGCTTTGATCACAAATTAAACATAATCTACATAAATAAATGATATAAAAAGTTGATGTATCAAAACTATATCATAAGATGAAACTAGTTATATTGAATTTATATTATAATTAGATTATTTTTCTCACAATTTATGGTCAAAGAGTGTCATTCTTTGATAAAAAAATCAAAACATGAAAAGCTTTGGGAGGGAAGGGAGTATCAAATAGGAAAACTACCAAAACGAATCTCAAAGGGATTCAGTTTTCTTTTCTACGCCTCTTCGCGTAATACTCCTTTCGTCTCATATCAGATGTCACACTCCGAACAATGCACAAAATTTCATCATTTTAATTACAAATCGATATATAAATAAAAACTATAAATCACATTGTTTTAAAAGTACATAAAAAACTTTAAAAACAAGAAGTAACAAGAATATTTTATTTTATCAAATTATCAATAAAAATATACAAATAAATACGAAGTAAAAGCATATGAGATGCGATAACAGTCTAACATTGACGAAGTAAAAGCATATGAGATGCGATAACAGTCTAACATTGGTATCCATTTCGGGGCTAGGAGTATATAATATCATCACACTAGTATTGTTCACACTCCTAAACTTGTGTAAGAGATAAAAACAATGTCATTCCAGTTACTCTTATTTCTAAAAGATTACTAAAAGTTGACTTTTTTGATTAAATTTTGACACATTTTGATTACAAATTAAATATAATTTAAATAATTAAATATTATAAAAAATTTTATATTTTAAAATATACTAAATTATACTCAATTTACGTAACTATATATATACTTTATGCATAATTTATGGTTAAAGAATGTCACTGTCTGATCAAAAAAATCAAACTGTGAGAAGAGAAAGTATATTATTTTAATTTTGATAACATTCTATTTTTATATAAAAATATTTATCTGAACTATTTTTATTTTCTTTTCTTTTTAACTAAACAAGAAAAATATATTTTTTCACATGAAAAATTATTTTCGAATTAGTTTCATCACTCAAGTTCTTTAGACAATAGAATTTGTTGTCATAACAACAACTACAATTGAATATAACCCCATCTAAAAAGAAAATTCTTCGCAACATTTTTGAAAAGAACAGCCAAGCGTCTTCCGTATTTGTGAATATACGGAGTATATAGTTAGAGAGATTTTCAGCACATATACTACAGAATTAGGAAGATGATGTCAAGCAATTATACAGCCATTGATGATCAGAATGTCTCCGGATCTGTTCCTGTAAGTCAATTTCTTTGTTTTTTTTCATTTCCACATTATTCACTATATTCAGATCCGGGATCTTTCTGCCGTTTTTCATGTTCATTTCTTTTGCAAATTTGCAGGCAGTAGCAGATCCTCCTCCCCATGTTGCCGTCAAATTCACTGGTATTTATGCGTCAAAATGCAAATATGTTTTACAATTTTGTGATTGACTTCTGAATTACTGGAAGTGAATTTGTGGAATTTTTTTCAGAGTCGAATCTCCAGACATTTCCGCCTTCAAGTTCACAGGGGAAAATCTCTCGCGGCTCTGGTCCTCCACGTGATGCTGATGGTATGTTCTGAGTAGAATATAAAGAGTACATACATATACCGATTCCAATAGTTATCAAGCTGAAGAGAAATTTAGGTTGATTTTGAAGAAATTACTGTAAGCTTAATTTAATGTCTAGCTGTGATTTTGTGTAGATCAAGACCTTAGGCTTCATGGATGATGAGTAATTCCTCCTCATGACCCATGTGCACTACAAGTCAATTAGCATGCACCTCTAGTCGTGATTTTGATAAGGCTTCAAGCTGTTAGGGTTGTCCTCTGATTATTGAATTTACGATAGGTTGACTCTTTAATTTAGATGCTGGGATTGTAGGGATGGGAGCTTTTAGGATCTGATTACGAGAGTTTGGATTGATGGCTATTGATCCTTTTCAATTGATATATGTTGGTAATAACCAATAGGAGCCAAGCTGTGGTGATCTAATACTTGAAGCTTTTGTGTGGTTTCAAGTTTCAGCAGCTTAATACCATTGTGTTTCTTAGGCTAGTTTCTTTCTTGCTTTGAAGTTGTGAGAAAATATGGAAAAGTGATCTGCTTATGAAGTGTGTCGCAAAGGTTTGACGCTTTCCCATGCAAGTCAAAGGAGAAGTTGCTTTTCAATTCTAGCGCGCTCCATCCTTTCAATTTGAGACAGTTTGCAGCGTGCAGTTTTAACTTGTTTGATTTGGTTAATGGGTTTAGGTTGGATCTTTTACAAGAGCTGCATAAGAACAACATACATTAAGATTAGGTTAGGTGTGAAGTTGTGTTCGGGAAAAAGTAACTAAATGGGAAAAAGACTAAAGTAGGAGTAAAACATTGAAAATATACCAATAGGAGCTCCATGTTTTTATTCCCAAAATAGGAGTTAAAATGCATTTACATTACCAATCATGACCATGTACATTACATGTTAGGAATCAGAGATCAGAGGCGGTCAAGCGGAAGCGAACAAACACACACACACACACACACAAATAGCAGAAATAAGAACACGAGATTTAACGTGGTTCGGTCAGTAACCTACTCCACGGGTTGCAACTAGGGTTTATCTTTTATTAGGTGCTCACAGATTATAGTTACATGATTGGGTATTTATAAGATATAAACTAGGGTTAACAACTTGCTAAACAAGAAACAACTAATGGGCCCTTTAATTAATAACTAAAACCGGCCCCCCATGTTTCTTCCCTTTAGCCGACCAGGCTTAAAGCCCACAGCTCTAAAGCCTTCACCGAATAACCCAACAAT